CGATTTTATGGCTTGAACATTTAATTGCTTAGAATTTTTGTATATATATTTGTCCTGGAAAAAAAAAAAAACCAAAACAACAAAAACCAACCAACAAAAATCCCCCCCAAAAGTAGTTACAGTAAAACTGGTAAGAGAAAGGGGGCAGGAGCTTCAGTTGCCTGAAGACCGAAGAGCGCCAAGAGGAGGGTCCATTCAACAGATAGTGACCTTAGTGTTCAAAACCTTTGATCTGGGGCAAGTAAACATGCACTCAATCTTGCACCTTTTTTTTTTTTTAAAAAAAAATATCCCTTATAAGACTGCTTAGAAATGCTTTGTCCAAAAATATAGTTCTCATATGTCCAGTACACAAAGCAAAAGGAACAAGTTCTCCCCGGGGTGCAGGTGAGCGTGAAGCCCACTCGCACCCACAGGTAAAGTCGCTCCCACGCCTGCCTTCCTCACCCAAATGCTCTCAGCATACGACAGTGCGGTGGAAGTGAGGAAGAGGCGTCTAATGCAGCACCCCAGCATATAAGGAGACACTTCAGCAACATTGTTTTCAAAGCAATTGTTTGTTTGTTAAGTGCTTGGAGGTGAATTCCTCAGGCACCCACAGCTCCAGCAATTCTGCTGTGCCAGAGGAAAACAAAGCAGCAGATAACCGGCTCTGTACAACTCGTTACCTCATCGCAACGGCAGCGTTTTCCAAAAAGACTATCAAATCGAGTGAAAGGATAGAAATCACAGAGGTGTCTGGGACAGAAGCAACACCGTACAGCTCCTGGTGCAACCAAAGTGGTGAGCACCAGTTTCGACTGAAGGACCAGGGTGGCCAACCGAGCAGGAAACAGAAAAGTGGCCATTTCCACCAATTCTCAGTTTCTTGTACCAGATGGGATACGTTGGCTACTCTGCTCCTCCGGGGCCTGGCAGAGGGTGAGAAGTCCCCGACGGCACTCTCGCTTCCACGCCATCAACGTACTACAACAGCTCCGGGAAAGAAACCACAGCCACTGCCAAGACCGAAAGCTCTGCGTCTGAAAAGGCCGAACTAAGAAGGCTACCTCGTTGCTCCCGAATCACACAGCCTCGCGAGGCTGAGCAACCGCCCTCCCAAAGGTCTTGAAACCTGCACGAGTCGCCCAGGAGCCGCACCTGGGCAAAAGCACGGGCCGTCCTACCGGGTATCGTCACAACTGTGGAAAAAGTCAAAAAGCTCTCACAGCTCTCGCTTTGATCGCTGAAGAGCCATATCCACCTATGTCCTGTGGCTTTTTCAACAGTTAAGACTTATGTATATTCATATAGGTTAAGGTTTTTTTAATTACTACCAAAAAAAAAAGGGAAAAAAGCCTTTTTGGATTTGTAAAGGAAAATCAGGTATTTCAGTAGATCAAAAAAAAAAAAAAATTATAGCATGAGACTCAACTTGAGACTCCCCCACCTCAGGCCTAAGCCCTTTTCCCTCTTATCCAGAGGAGTGACCCAGCAAGCAGGTAGCTCTCAGCTGTAACTTCTCATGCTCTCTTGTCTCCAAGATTAACCGCTTCTCCAAAAAACTAAGCTTCTGTATTCTTGGTGACAAAACATAGTGCTGCCATAGCAGGAAGATCCATTTAAATTTCTTTTTTTTTTTAAAAAAAAAAGAGACAATCAGCAGCCTTAATACAGGCTGATACAGGCTCCTTCCCATAAAGGAGCTCAGGTCACAACCCTCCCATCACAGAGGAGCCACGTGCAGCACTGCAGACCAAAGGCAGACGTTGGGAACCGATCCGTACCTGAAAAAAAGCAACAATTCTGGGTCCTCTTATGTCACTCTTTAGCCACAACGGGGATCCCGATAGCCAGCTGCTCACCCCGGCTCAGCTGACAGGCATCACCTCTTCTTCCCGTTTCTGTGCCGACAGGACAGGTCTTTGGCCAGGCTCTGAGAAATGGAGCTTCTTTACGTATTGCATATTCACCAACGGTCAGCTGCATTCAACAGACTCAAATGCATTGCTTTGCAAATCAACTGCTTCCTCTGCTCCAAATTAAAACCATGTTTTGGCACGGGTCTCGTGTTACTACCGATTTTTCTAAGCTGGTCTTGCTATCTAGTGAGCCTCAGAAGCTGAGCTGAATACGTTGACCAAGTTAAGGCATTATTTGGAGTTCTGTAACTAACCTGTGTTTGAACCTGTGGTTGCCAACGCGCACACCTCAAAAACCTCTGAAGGACACACCGAGCCCTTTACCTACCCAGTGGTAAAAACCATTCCAACCATCTCCACTCTAACAGACCACAAAGAAAAAGAAAACAAAGAAGAATTAAAAGGCTTGGTCCTGAATCAAGCCAAAGCAGCTTTATAATCACAACTTTTATAGAAGGTTGGTCACTGAAGAAGGGATCTATAGGAGGACCAACAGATTTTAACAGAGCAGAGAGAAAAAGGACAGTAGAGCTAACAGAGACAATAGCCACAGCTGTGGCATACTACCAGGCTACGAGCATATGCAAGAGCAAGGGAATTTGCTTGACTGTCACCAAATTAACAGCTTTAGAGCACACACAGAGGATACCTCAGTGCCTTTTTTTTTCTTGAATTCCCCCATTTTAGGATGCAATCTTCAAACCTGATGCGCAAAGAGCACCTATCTTGTATTTATCTCAAAAATTAGGCAATATGAAGACTGACAAATTATTAAAACGTGAGCAACTCCACATGAAGAGGAGATAGCAGAGGAATCGGAGACCGATCAGGAAGGAAGCCAAAGGAGCTCTACAGATCAGAACATTTTTAAGCACGATTCTCTAGCGGGCACAAAGAGGCCAGCAGTCCAAAGCAGGTTATCGAGACTGTGGAAGAAGTTACCACCCATTCACAGCAGGGTTCAGTCACATACCTTCCCTCTCCTCCTCCCTGCACCTAAAAACACAAGCCTCAACTTTGCAGATTTCATGGTCCTGGCAGAATAATCCAGAAGATGCACGCAACAGCCTCCTACCAGAGAGGCACGCTCTTCTGCAAATGGCTTTAACAGCAAAGATCTAAAATAATGACCTGAGGGCAGGTAGGGAAATTTTCATTATTTCTTTTTGAGGTTCATTTGCTGAAGCTGTGCTGCCAGTCGGCCTTTGACAGCTCTCCCTCATCTGCGAGGCTCAGTTCTGTCTCCGCACACTCAGCCGAGTCCCTGAGCTGTCACCTCTGCCTTGGACGAGAAGCGGAGCCGCGGCCCGAGTCTCCCGTGCGAGGGGATGGGTGGTATCAAAGCTGACATTCAGATCACTGCTGGAAGAGTGTCAAGAAGCCCTGAGCCTACTTGCCCCCCCCGCCCAGCACACACACAGAGTAGCTTTTGTGCAAGCTTAAATGGTGAGGAGGTGCTGGAAAAGGTTTGTGATCGGTCACAGCGACTACAGAGAGCCTCAAGTTAGAGAGGTTCTTATTAATGATTCCTAACTTTGTACAGGTACCAAAGCAAGGATTCCCCGACTGCACAAAACAGCAACCTCGTCCTTCCACTTGCAGGTACCAACCCAACAGGCATTCTCCATCTCCGGCTCCCCAGACAGCCAGACACCTCCGACCCTTCACGCAACCAACCAAAACGTGTTGCAATAGAAAGGTAGGTCTGATTTCCAAATCATTTATGTTACATATATACAAACTTTTGTAACCTACAAACATCTAAAGGAAGTGTTGCAAATGCATTTGAGTTTTCCCTAAGTTGCTAAACCCAAAGGAGAGCATCAGAGTCCCAGAGGGGCTCCAGTATCCAGACCGAGATTATACATTATTTCTGTCCTACACAGCATGAGGCAAGACCAGTACAGTATCTGAAAAAATGCACAACAACTCCCCTACCCCTGAAAAACCCCAGAACACAGCCCTGCAGACGAATATTCACAAACCCCCACCGTTGGCCGCAACAAAGCTACAGATCGGGTGCTGTTTCTAAACGAGCGGCGAGTGATGTTTTTACATTCATTGTTCGTCTTTCAAAAACAATCTTTTTGTTTCTTTTCTTTTTTAAATCTTATTTTGATATCTCATACTATATTAATTTACTGTGTCTTAAACCAGTACTACTAAAAGATGGCTACAAGGCTATATTCTTTGTCAAGTGGACACATACAAAAGATACAGCTCTTCTTCAGCTCTTCTTAGCCAAGTACTACAGCCTGCCCTCAAATACATACACCTCCCTTAAGAGAATTCATGTGAGACGCAAGCATCTCATTGCTAGAAGTTTTTGCCTTGAGAACCGGCCGCTTTAACAGGCGAAATACACAAACCAACTCATGGACACCAATGCAAGTAACGTGCTTGCCTTCCAGAACAGGTACTTCTGAAAGTCCTTCAAAAAGCAAATCCGTTTTCTCCTTTCAGAAAATCTTCATGCAAAGAACAGCTTCATTTGCGTGTCATAATCATAAATTAAATAAAATAAGCCAGCCGTAAAGGCTAGATAAATAGTAGGTTTGGACATGTTGCTATACTATTTAGAGAGCCACAGAGACCAACACACAGCACTCTCACATACACACAGAAGCCTTTCCACTAGGTTAGAAAGGATTTTCTCCTGCAAAAGAGGATTTGTAGAAAGAACAACGTTCAGACAAGAGGAAAGGGGAGTTAAAACCCAGCCTCCTATATGCTAATAAATAAACTGCTCTATTGCAAGATTCAGATCAAAGGTTTAAAAAGGCAAAATTATGCTACTATTAGAGAATATCAAAATATTACTGTTATCATCACAAGTGGCATATATGCAAAATGCAGTTGCACAATAATGCCTAGGCAGATAGAGAGCAACACTAAGTCTGCCGACTAAAAGTGAACGATATATACCCATTTTAGTTTTCCGTCTAGTCTTTTGGCATCTTTGCATATGGTGCAAAAGCAGAAGCTACCAAAGAATATCACATCTCGTATAGAATAGTAAATAATTTCTCCAGATAAGACTGGTGCAACGCTAGCTAATTTTAAATCTGCTATGAGTAACACAGTCAAACCTAGTTAGTATGCAAGAAACTTATCTCTTAACACAGAATGCAAAGTTATGATGCAACATCATGAACAATCCCTGGTTGTCCAGTTTTCAGTATAAAGGTAGTGCATAGATCCAAGTTTCTATTTCAGTTTGCTGAATGGAGAAGGAGCTCCCGTTTCACTTTTGCTGGGCAGCCTGGAAAGCTTTCAGTTCCAGCTGGTACCACTCCGGTGCTTCTGGCCCGTTTTGCCCAACGGGGTTGTGATCGTATCCATAAGCCACTGTTAATTCCTCATCCTTCTCCACAGCCCTGATGGTACGGATACACTTGATAGGCCCAAAACGAGGATGAACAAACCTAGACGAAGAATAAAACACTTTTGCTCGGCTTAGCTGTCAATTCACAGACACCGTTAGCCCCTTTTATCGTTTCAGAAGTCGCTCACAGTTCAGAGTAGTATCACATAATCTGGTATCAGATGAGTAGATTGGTTTGAGTCAACCTTATAAAGACTTGAGTAATAAGGGCAAAAATACTGACATATTAAAGCAGCTTTGTGTAGCTCTGTTATTTGAAGTTTTTCAACAGTCCTGCAACATTTCTTGTTTGTAATACATAAATAAAACAAAGTTAATCACTGTTGCACACCTTGGGCTTGCAGAGGTGAACATGTGCATGACAGGAAAACTATATATTACTGGAGAGCATGGAAAATGGCTCATCTTAATTTCTGCAGTACAGGTTACCTACTAAACAATCATAACATACCTCTGTACATCTTCTCCTAGGGTCCCACAGTAAAGGGAATCAGCTTATTTAACGAAGGAAAGCTATTTTCTACATCTCTCTCTCTCTCCCCCCGCCCACAGGTCTGTTTGTTTATACATTGGTATGAAAATATTTATACCCCTCAGCATACCTATACTGAAAAGTTTCTGCACCAACTGCAGAGCAGCAAGATATTTATTTTTTCTGTTTCAGAAATGACAGCACATTTGATGCTGCTGGTCAAGCATCTGCAGTTCAGCAAATACGGTGCAGTGCTAGCCAAGCTAGGATTTAGAGAGCTGTGCTTAATGCATTTTAGAACCAAGAGGCAGCTCCTAAAGTTCATGATAAAATTAACACAGTGGCAAACTTCAAGATACTCCATGGTGTAAGTGCCAAGAGAGTTCAAGCACCCGCAATGCCAGCCAGTTTCCAGCTCAGCCCAGGTGAGCAGGAACTCCTCCAATGCCTGGACCCGTTAACTCCCAGCCCCACCAGCCGCTCCTCCTTCAGCTGCCCCGAAACACCCTGTGAGCCCAGACCGCCGGGCTGCAGCTTCCACTCCCAAACACGGGAACTCTACTTACGGGTCGTAGATGCAGTTAGGAGTGAAAGAATGGTTGGCCTTATGCCCCAGCGAGGCACAGTACTTGGCAGCGTGGTTGTAGGGCTCTGGCACGTCTATGACTGTTTCGTCATCCAGGGATATTGTATTTCCGTTGAGGGCCCAGTCTCTGCTGTCTACCTAGTTTGCAAGGCAAAAATCCAGTGTGTGTCTGGAGGGGTCAACTTTGCCAGCAGTTTGAAAGCAAACACTCAAATATATGCAACTAAAGCTTTTCCTGTGTTTAAGTCATTAAAAAAAAACAACACAAAGACCACTTTTTTTATATATACGTAGGTGAACGTGCACTTTCTTTCAGTTAAACTCCATCATATTAAATCTTAAGGGTGGGAAGGGGATGGGTGCAAAATCCTACAAGAAGATGATTTCAGAAGGAGCAATGAAAATTCAGACTGACTTTTTTCTCTCCTTTACCTCCTGGTGTGTAATTCGCACTCCGTTGTAAAAGGACATAACTGTATTGGCTTCTGCTGCTATTTTCGAAAATAATCCTTCCCCAGCACTGGAAATGAGAGAGACATCAACATACACCCTACAAGGGGAAAAGGGCATGGAATTAGCGATTGGCTACAGTTTTCAAGAAGTATTATCACAACACTACTGGCATAAAGACTAATACTTCAATAAAATAACGAAACTGATAATGATAATTCAAAACCAAATGCAACTCCTTCTCCTTCCTCTCTTCCTTACGTTCTCTCTGTTTTGCCAAAATGAAGATTTGGTGGGAAGTGCCGGCTGACTTAAAAAAAAAAATAATTTCAAACTAATAGATAAAGTGCCAATCTACTATTACTCCTTAATGATGGCTTCAGGTCAGAACACCCTCAATAACATACCAGAATCCCAGAGGTCTCCACTAAGCTGAGGCTGCTGGTGTGTGTACATGCACAGACGAGCAAGTGTTCAAGGTGAAGCCTGAGATCTTCAAGTACTTGATGCAAATTAATGCCAGCATTTTACCAATCATTTATTTAGATATTTCAGAGTATCAGAAAAGGAGTACAGTTGAGGTATCTAAAGAGTAAGGCCTCTAAGTCTAGGTAAAAAGTGTAATTGTGGAATAGCCATGGAAGAGACATCAGTGACTGACTATGATGAGACAATTGCTGAGGAACATGTTTTGACATTACAAGGTTGTCACAAACACTATCTATCTCACTTTCCTCCAGCTTGATGATTTAACTCTTGCTACATCTGTAGGGAGGGGAGAAAATTTTGTACAATGTATGCCATTCAACAAGACAAACTGAATGCAGCACACTGCAACCTGAAGCTAGTTACACATCCAGAAAATAAGGAACAGCGTACTTTTTTGCTCAGAATGTTATAGATGTGGGCTATTAGTGGAGTCCAGGACTTGACTGAACATGTCTTTGAAATGCTCAGAAGTTATCCTAGTTCAGTCTCTTAAAGTATTGCTGTGTTCTATCCACTGGAGTGCAATTTTATTGTGCGAATCACAAACAAATTCAATCAAGTCAAACGCTAACTGATGTGCAGTAATGGTTTCCAATTTCTCAAATACTTACATGCTTTTTTTTTTTCAATTTTAAGCGAGAAAAGGTTTGCAAAATTAGGCCTTACATATGTAACAGCAAAGAAACATGGACAATACTGAAAGAGGGGAGAAGAAAAAAAAAGCCTACCTCTCTGACTCGTAAGGATCAGGAAGAAGTGCATTTGTAGAAATGCAGGATGAAGTAGATTTGTCAAAACTGTATACTGGGCCTAAAGAAACAGAAATCAAAGGAAATAAACCAATTGGCAGTACTAAAAGCATGCAACTCTTAAGACATTCAAAAACTAAGTTTTAGTAACTGCAAGAAATAAATGCTATGCTTCCAAAAAAGGTATTAAACAGAACTGCACCTGTAAAAGGTCTTCAGTGAGATGCTGTTTCTTGATATTTTTTTTTTTCCCCTCAACATACCAGAGTACCAGTATTATCACAAAAAGGTGACATATATGTTCTTTGAACTACCAACTTTTACCGGAGGACTGGACAGTCTTTCTAAACTGACCCTCCCAGAGACTCTAATTAAAATAGTAAAGCAAAATTTAAAAGGATATATTCAATAACACATTAATTATAAAAAAACTTGGAACTATTTCAAACATGAAATGTTTTCTAGTCCAAATCCTGAAGGGACTTCAGTCAGAAGATAATGTTCAGCAATCACAAAGTACACTTACTACAGTCATTTATTTCCTGCCATTAATAAGCAACTCAGTGGAACAGCTCTAATTATATCCTTACATCCCTCTGCAATCAACTGCCAGAGGACTATCTGGGAGATAGGTTAAGATGCAGGTGGAAATAAGATGGAGGGAAAAAAAACCCAACCAAACCACAAAACAGGACATCAGAAAGTTTGATAAAAGGCCATTGCCCCTGGTGCCCAAGATCTGTTCTGGCTGAAGGCAGCTTCCTCCAGAGTGTACCTGAATCCTATTTACAGAGCACAACTGTACCCTCTCAGAAGATATGTTTTAAGTTAAGTTTTGATTTGCCATCACAACTGAGAGATTAAAAAAAAATACAAAGTCACATGCATTTGCTTCTCAACGCCTTTTCACTGAGTTTTCTGTTCTTATTCATATCGAGTGAGACAATCTTTGCTGGCAAAACAGTAAACGTGTTAGCATAGTCCCTGTTTATTACTGGCGGCCCTGTCCGCAGCTTAACCCATCCACTCCCAAAACATCACATACACCTCAGAGCAACGAAACCACTCCAGAACTACAAACCCAAGCCACCACTGCCCCGGGGAAGGAGCACCGGTGACATGGGTCGAAGGCAGCACCCCAACCCTTTCACAGCCACCTTCTATCAGCAGGACTAGACAGACTGAAGGGTGCTGGTCAATCAGTCTGTTGCACAACCACCCAACTCAGTACACAAATTCCAATCCCTGTGTCCTTTCAGCCCCATAAGGCAGATGCCAGAACGTTCGCAGCGCTAACATTTACTTGCAAAAAACCCAAGTGACAGAGCTACAACCAAACCATGGCCACCCTCCCTGCTTTTAGTCGTTTTACTAACAAAACCAAGCCCGTAACTGTGCCAGCATTAACGCGGTTAGGCAGGTTATGACACGGATGGCAACGGGGTGTGTGACGAGTAGGACTGCGCCTGCCATCATGCGAGAGAAGGGTTACGAAATGCAGTTTGGCAGCACCTCCGCATGGGTCGCTCCCCGTTTGTTCCCAGAGCAAAGGGATTGCTCCACGTGCCTTTCTGTCCAACTTTATAATTTAGAAAAAGGGCTTCTCACTAATAAGACTTATTATCTCATCGCAGCCAGCCTTTAGAGTCTCTGAATGGGGAAGCTTACAGAAACCAAGCTGTTAGCAGCAAAGAGCTGGTAGCGAGAATACAAGTTTCTGTGTTGGCTGAACTTACTGCCTGGTACTACTTCAAACTGAGGTTTCCCATCCTCTACAGATGTCAGAGTTGCCAGTTTTGCTTCTATCATTTCTCCATCTATGAACCTTCCAGAATATGCAGTCTTTCCATCCGGGTACACATAAGCTATTTTCTCTCCAGTCATCTCCCCTTCTTCATTCACTTCTCCCACAAGGCTGCCTCCATCCTGAAAGCATGGGCAAGAAAGAAAAAGCATCTTCAGTAAATGAAAAATATTTCCCCCAGCTTTTTAAAAGAAACAACCTAAGCTACAGTAAGTTCAGATGTGAGATCATGAAAACAAGTGAGAAACAGACACATGAAGAAGCTGGGTGAAGCCATCCTAGTCAGGATAAAACCGGTAAAATAAATGAACGGGGCTTTCTATGTTATTTGAAATAGGCAAAACCCAAGGTCTTTCCTTCCATGTGACACAAATACTGAGTTTTAATTGGTAAAATTTTTATGTGAATAGTCTGCGAACCAAGGCCCAAAACCACACACAAACTTTGTCTGAGTTCTTAATACGATACTGTGCTGGAGGAAAGAACGCTGCCTTGCTCACAACTAATTTATGGTACATCAAAAGACTTGACCCTATTAAAAAAAAAAAATAATTTGCTGGACAAATGGAGAGTTTCTCTGTCCCAGTATCCCTCCATGATGTCAGGTGGTACTTGATGAGAACCACCATTTGCTGAAAGCCATCATCAGCTACACTTTTCCTCTCTAAGGTTTACACATTTTAGCCCTGGGCTTTGCCATCTGCAGTTTGCCTGCAACTCCAGTCAGGTCTATTTACAGAATTGCAGAATGAGATGCGTAGATTAGCACAGGACTAATGACTTCAAGTGTTTATTTTAAAAAGGACAAGGAAACATCTTCAAATAATGCCCTGGAGAAAAAACAGCAGGTGTGATGTGGGAACAGACTGATTTAGATCAAGATTGCTGCACACAGACTCTATTTCAGAGCGATACCATTTTGTTCAACTCCAAGGATGAAAGAGCTTCAGATATATCGTAGTAAGGAACGGTGAACCTTGACTTTGGGTAAAAATTTGTGCACATAGCAACATGCACAGAACCATGCATAAATAACTGTTTCCATGGCACAGGTTGGTTTGTTTGTTTTTGTTTTTTTTTTGAAACACCTTGCATCCTTTAGTCTGGCAAGATGACAATGATAAACCACCTCTAAATATCCACATTTCCAGAAGGTACAGCAGCACTTTGTCAGCTGGAAGATGAAACAGGACACATATAACCTGAAGGGTCACCTGTGTGTATTTTATACACTAGTACTAAAAAACTTCTACTTGTTTGGCAGCTAACACCAAGCATTCGTTGATTCTAACACATGCTTAATGGCAATAGTGAAAACCAGTAAATAAAGCAAACAGCCAATGGTGAGCATTTGAAATTAATTTGCAACTGAAGTATGTGCAATAGGTAGCACAGAAACAGACTGGGTTTTGACCAGCAGCTTAATTACATGCAGGTGTTTCCCCGTCCTCAGCACAAAGTAAAGATTGAAAGGTTCAACTCTGGAGTGCTGTGTTGAGGCTGCATAGGAATTAAAATCTTAAAAATTTACATTAAAAACCCTTAAAACCCAGTACAACCATTATTGCCCTAACTAGCATGGTTATAAAAGTACATCAAAAATTTCTCCAGAGTTTTCCAGAGGGATATCTGAGTGTTTACCAAGAATCAGAAAGATAAAATTCTCGCTTAATGAGCAAAGCACATGTCCACACTCCAGGCAGAGGCACAGCTCTCACACCAGTTCCATCTGATTTGTTGGGTGAAGCCAGACTTCACAACAAACGCTGCAGAAATGGACAAAGCCTCCCCTCCTAGCTCAAGAAGAGCAGCAGGTTGCAATAGCTTGCATAGCTCCCCTGCTTCTCACCTCCAGTCAGCACTACAAAGTGGGAAAATCACCGGCCCAGCCTTCCCCAGGAGATATAACATAAATGCACTTCCAAGGGGCTGGGTTCCCTGGAAGATGAAAACAGTGGTGGCACCTCGCAGCCTTGCTGAATCCTGTCTACTGGGCAAACATTCAACACTGAAAAGGTTTAACTGTATGTTGGATTATCCAAAATCAGAATGCACAGATCTTCCACTCGCATTTTTGTACGCTGACTTTTGGACAGCTGGGTTGTGGTGGTTATTTGCTTCAGTTGAGGAGAAAAAGACACATAATGGTACTATTTTGCTATAAAGAGAGCAGGTGGTCAGGCTTACCGGGTAATAAATCCAACAAACTCCATGTCGAATGTTGTCTTTATACTGCCCTTTGAATATCAGCCGCCCGTCACTGTCATACTCCTGGGCTGGTCCATTCAGCTCTCCATCCACATATGTGCCATGAAGGACCACTCCATCCTCGTAAGTGTAGATTCCCTGGCCTTGCAGGGCATCATCAACATAGTACCCTTCCAGGGTGCTGGTAAAGAGAGAAAGAAAACAGCAGTGGAAGACGATTCACCTCTCTAGGAGGTGAGCCCAAAGCCTCGACACGAGGCACAGAACAACCCTGCTCCCCTGCAAATCATTCGACATACGACTGGTACAGAGAGGGTATGGGGAAACCTTCAAGAAAGTCAGGTCCTAGGAGGAGGTGACTGTTGACACCTGGTTTGCTATTGCTGGGTACCCTACAACCCTCCTCAAAATGCACACCAACACTACTACAACAATCACAGCTTTTCTTCACTTTCTTGGTGGCCTCTCTCCGAAAGCCCAGGGACCCCCTCGCTGGGACGCCGCTTCCAGCATCTCTCCTCTATCCCCCACCAGGCATCACTATCCCCCATGTCTAAAACTCTGACACGTTTGCTAGTTTCAACCAAATTTGAGGGCGACAAGGGGAAGGGGAGTAGGAAGGTAAACCCGACTTCTCTGAAAAGCCAAGATGAAAACCAGTAACTTGTTTCTCCAGACCTCCAAAGGCAGAAACCAACTTACACTGTGCTTTCACCAGAGTGAGCTGCATGGACACAGCATCATTCAGCGGAGCTGTTTTTATAAGCTGGGGTAGCAAATTACAGCGGCAAATGGACGCTCATGGTCAAAAACGAAATTATTGCTCAAGCAGGCTACTCTCACGTTAGGATTTTCTATCTCCTACGTTTGGATCTTTACTGACGTCGCTCTGGTGAGATCAACTTGAACTGCCGTGCAGGTGGATCGCAACAGGGTACAAACTGCAGCCTGCTACCAGCTCAGTGTCAGCTCCCCAGCGATAGACTTAGCAGTAATCTGTACTGGATTTGCTAAAAGGGTTGTCATTTTTCATGTCTTTCTATTAAAATGGAACAGCCTGTCAAACAGAACTAGTGCTGCGCTGGGATCTGAACAAAGAAATGTATCACTTCAGTTTTGTCTTGCAAACCCTTTAGAAGGGGTGCCATAATAACATGCAAACTGCTTCGCTTTGTTTCTTAAAAAAAGGCTGCTGAGAGAATCTACAAAGAATGAAAGCATAACTGTAAAAGAGAATCTCCTCAGTTATTTCTTTCCCAGGTTAGAACTAGCACAAGGAAATACAAACTGTTTAGCTTTTACCCCAGCATATTTAGCTAACAGCCAGCTGCAGCACACATACTTTCACTGCATAATTCTTTTTTCTGATGCCGAGGTCTAAGGTATAAGCCCAAACAGTGTCCGGGAGCACATGACTCAACGTGTTTTACAAAACTTTACAAAACAGATTTTCAAGAGATGAGGAAGGAATGTTTTCTCAGAATTAACTTTCTGGTTTCTAAAGCTTCGCTCTCTGTTCATACGTAACTTTGGCAAGCTGGCTGAGGTTTCCATGGGAAAATACACCACAGTAAAAGCCTCAATGCAAACCAGATGCAGAGCAGGAAGGGGCAGGAAAGCTGTTTTTACTTGTCAGTCAGATAAATTTCTTGATCCGGGTTGCTACAGAGCTGCACAGACAGCTACAGCACCGCAGCACAGGGAGCGAGCAGAGCAGATGAGGGAACCACCAGAAATCCGTGCACTTACTCAACTATAAATGACACCGCTTTCTCTTCTAGTTTATCACAGATCACCAGATTTGAATTTCATTGTAGTTGTCAACACACACAGAGTCCACATGCAGGATTACTCTTTAAAAGAAGCAGCCATCCCCAGTTTATGTAATGAAACAGACCAAAAAAAACCCTTCTTGTTACCTTTAACAGTATTAGTTGAAGTTACCAAATTGCTAAATTACAACAGTACTTCAGTACTGGGAAAAAAAAAATAATATTTTTTTTTACTGTAACTCCAATTTCTAGGTTTTCTTTGTTTGTATTAAGCTCCAAACAATGTCCAAAAGATCCATCTGTTTCTACTCTCATATCATCTAAGGAAATCAAGAGAAAGATACCTAAAGAAAGAATTCCATGTCTTTCAACCTTGCATAAAAAGTCCAGCTCTCTAAAACTTTTATACTTTTTACGGGTTTTGAGTCATTTCCACCCCACTCTCCCCTTCTCTCTCTTTTTGAGCTCTCAAAGTATGATGTCTGCAGCCAGACATGATACTTGCAACTAAGATCTGACCAGCATGAGGAGGAATAAATAGCTTCTGTCTTTTGCATAAACAAAATCTTGTTAATACAAACCCTGAGCTAGCCTACATTTCTCCGGTTCGCTTCTCGGATTATCATATTTGTGACAATGTAAAGTTTTACTAAAGTCAAGATTTATCAGATGTCTTGTCTCCCCATTATCCACCAGGCCTAGAGGGGATCTAGGATATCCACTACCTAAAAAATAAATCAGTGGTAAGAGTTGGGGAGGGGACCCAGAATACTTACTGCAATATCCTTCCAGGTATTAAAGTTACATCGATAGACCCTGATCCATTCATCCCTCATACTCTCTCATCTCCCACCTTTCCCTCTATGTGGGAACATCAAAAACTTTTTTCTTAAAAACAATACCGTTCTCTCCTGTGATCTGGGAGATGTCAGTTCACAAGCGTTTCCAGTTATGGGAGATGAGCAGCTGCAGCTCTGTGCCAAAGACGGCTCTCGTGCTCGCAGTTACTGTGCAAAGTGTTTTATAAAGTGCACTCCAGCAGGCATTAGCACTGATGAAAGCTCAAGCATACGATCCAAAACAGGGAGTATGCCAGAGGTGAAACTTCTCTCTCTGAAAGAATAGTTTGGGTTTTGTTGCAATTTTATTTTTTTTAAGGTGGAGGAAAAAAACAACTGACATTTCATTCCAGGTTTCCACTCCCTTAAATAATCAACAGGAAGGAGGCAGCTATTTCAGTAAAGGGAAAAGTTTTCACTGAGGCAAACACCACAGCCAGGCAGCCACTCCTATTTCCCAACACTCAAAAAAAATGAGAACGCTTGCACTGCTGCCAGTCCAGTGTCTGACAGGACTCAAATACTCCCCAACAACAGACCCACAGCCGTTCAGCTGCCAGCCTCTACCAGCAGCCTGGCAGGGAAACACATCCCAGAATGCTGAAAACAGCTAACTTACTGCACTGAACCGCACAATACTGTACGGGGAGAGGTGTTCTGAGAAATCTGGGGGATTCGTTTCTCTTCTTCATAAGCATTCAGCCTTGCCCATGGCACAGTTAATGGAAACAGACCGTCCTGTTTTATGCCGGGTCATTCTTCCTGCAACACGTCACGACACCTGAACCATCCACGTCAGAGAGCAACTTACTCTTCCTAGCTAGGCATAGCTAGGTAAATTGGAACATCTTTACTAACTAGTCACTGCTCAGTTAAGGCTGCTTTAGCTAAATTAAAATAAACTTAGGGCAATTTATAAAAATATCCCATTTTCCAAAACCACATTACAGACTATTTTGGTGTATTTTCATTCTGCTAGTTCCTGAAGTCATGCAGTAGCCAACTGTTCCGTTTTGTAAAGGGTTATGAAAATTAAAAAAAAAAAAAGAGTTGGCAACACTGAAGCGGTACAGAAAAGGCTCAGCAGCAGCCTGAGTTTTCCCACCGAGCACTGCCTGTACCCTGGACTACTTGGAGGAGCAGCCCTACAAACAAAATAACGGGTCAGCTTCTCTGACCGTACAATCAGCAACCGCTCTGCTGAGATCATCAACAAGCACAGAAGCGTTATGTACGTGTGTCCATAGAGACGCTGGCTGCCAACTTAAAAAAAAGGCTATTTTAGAGAGGTCAGCTGCTGGGCAGTACTGATTTTCAGTTACTCATACAAGATTTAATAAGCCCATTACTAACAACAGTGGGGATTTTTCTTCATCCAAGCTTGGAGGCCTGATCAGTTTCTGCCTAACTGAATAAATATATTATCCTTCTCATGCAAAAAGCCCACAAACCCCAGTATGAAGCAATTGCAAAGGCAAGTACAGACAAGGAGCTGACTCATTGAGACAGCACAATACCTCTGCTCCTGCTCAGAAGTTCGCTGAGCAGGAGGAGAGTAGACCCGGCACGACTGTCAGTTTAACGGCTGCTATTCATAGTGCCACCGACAGCTGCAAAACCATGAAGAATCGTGTCATTTTATGCATCTGCTGCTCCTTTGGAGGAAGTTCTGAGCAACTGCAGAGAGAAATGCTGCAGTTGGGGGAAGATGTACAAGGTATTCATAACCAAGACCTGAGAAGAGAACACACGCATAGGCACAGACTAGCCCAATTTCACTGTCACAATTCCCAGTGAAGAGAGGGGGAAATTATAGGGGCTTTTCTGAAAACAAATCAGGCCACAAGCAACTTGCAGAGGATTAGGTAGAGTTGGGAACAAAACCGTATTCAACCCAGCCCTTTTACCATTAAACAATTTCCAAGACCAAGCAGAGGATAAGCCTCTGTCGAGGTCCTATGTCTGTGCCTGAGGTGTGGTACAGGGAGCTCCCAGTCCAGCTGCAGTCTCTGTACAGGGCTATAAGACAAAGAATTCCACCTTCATTTATGGACTTGAACTTTGTAGTCCAAGTCGTTGTCAGCATGGTTTCCAATAGCTCTGACCACCTCCCAGGTCTTACGGTCTCTAATTAGTTCATAACTCTGCAGTGCTAAAAGAGCTCACACAGCTGCGTTCTCCCACCGGGAAATGACTCCAGTCACCATGTTACATACAAAGTCCCCAAGCCCACAAAGGCATGGCTACAGCAGCAGTAGAGAAAACTTTCCAGCTACAGGTTTTATTGAGAAAACTTATTCAGATACTCAGCAGCGTACAATCAACATAGAGTAGTTTTGCATCACTGCAAGCAAGAGGCAGAATATAGAAGAAAAATCAAAGAGTCAATGTCTACCTTCCATCAAAAAAGAAGAACTTGCCGCGGCCATTCTTTTCTCCATGCACAAAGTTTCCCTCAAATCTGTCTGTCGATGAATAGGTGACTGTACAGAAACCATGTGGCAACCCATCATCATCTAGATGCCCTGAAATAAAATCCAGACAAAGAGCAAAAGAACACATTAAACATCACATAAAATTGGAAACCTGTTCCGATTATGTAGATGCTTGAAATGCAGTAGCTCCCTAGTACAAAACAGTAATCTGCATCAAAACATTTCTGTTGGGAAGAGTGATCAGAGATTCAGTACAACTGAAGTCTGTACTTGTGTAACACGCTTTGCTTAAAGTAAAACATAAAAAGGGTCGGGATAAAAGAAAACGGATGAGAGAGAGGAGAGAAGAATAAGCAAAAAGACAAGTTTCTAAAAGAAGCAAGGTTCATACTATTCTAACTTGTGTTAATATAAGTCTTCAAAAATATAATAATTCTTCACCTCAAATATGTATTTTCTGGTGAGAACAGAATAGATTTAGACTTCAATCCACTAAGAAAAGTTTTTTTTCTTTCTTTTGATAAATACATGTCATACAACAATGTGGGTGTGCTACCTCGTCGCTATATCCACAGGAATTTAAAGAAATAAAAGCATGTTGTACCTACAACACTATGCCCTTGCAAGACGTCAACTTGCTATTTCATATTTTAAATGCTGCTTTCCAGTACCCTTCTGATGTGTTATTACAACCTCCCATACCGTTCCCTTCCCTAGCCGTATCAGGTTTCCCCATCACAGCTGTTGCACATGGGGAAAGCAGAGGGATGTCACACTTGGATCCTCATCTGCACGGCTCTGTATTTTAGAGCATACAATTGGCCAACTCTGATTGTTAAGTTAAAGCATAATTAGGCTCATATTGCATCTCCATCTGCCTCTTCAAAGCCAGAAGAAAATGGAAGAAGAGCGTTTCAAACAATTGTTATTGCCTAGTTTACCTGTGCGAACCTGGAGTCCTTAGCACTGCATTAGCAGAACATCACTCCGACTGCAGGAGGAAGAGCTCCAGCTCAGCAGGCCTGCTTTCAGCACAGTGGTACACCAGGTGCAGGTGTAACAAGCTCCCATCGCGACATTTTAGCAGGTATAAATTTTGCATGAAAACTAATGAGCAAATAAAAGCTAGCGTACATTTATGTTCTTCCATGTTTCTAAATAAAAACTGACCTCTGATCCCCCAAGTCTCTTGGCGAGGCATACAAAGCCTATTAGAGATGAGAGAGCACACGCATCCACTTCTACAGGCTTTGGGTCAAGCTCTTCCCTGACCAAATTTGCCCTAAACTGAAAAGGTTCAACACACACATGGAAAGGCAGAAACAAAGTCCAGTGTGAGGGGGAGCAATTACAGCCCAGGCTGAAGCAGGCAACAAGAGCCACTTCAGTATTACCAAACCTCGAGTCCTACGCCCAGAGAGAAAACAAGCCGTGCAGACAGCAGCGGGAAAAGCCAGCCACCCATGTGGCTTCAGAAGTCCATCTATTCGTGCCCCGATTGCAACAGGTCCGCAGGGTTCCACAGGGACAGGGGTACCCAGACAGCACACACGTGCCCTCGTGTTCTTCTCACGTCACCATAAGCATCCTTGGGATGCTTCGCAGCCCCTCAGGGACATCACAGGGCACGGTAAGGATGTGGGGCAGCATCTGGTTAAGAAGTCCTCTCCTATGAGGCATATGACCTGCCCTAGCCTTTTAATATCAGAATGATTGACAGAAGAATGACATACAGCACAGGCTAGTTTGTCAGGATATATTTCCAAACTTTTGTCTATCTCAAAGTAAAATTCCTTTTAAAAAAAATAATAAAGGGGAGAGAGAGAGACACAAAGATAGAAGAAGGGAAAAAACGAGCTAAGTGAATGTTCCTCAAAGTAACCAAGTAAGGCTGTGCAGGTTTATTACCCATCTCCTGCACTTGTTACATTAAATATGGAAAAAAGGTGGTTTACAGGAAAAATACTTGAACTCACCCGAGAGCCAAGATCCCCTCCTTCACCCTTCCCACATGTGCTCCCCAAAGTTTCTCTCGCACCTGCTTGGGCACTTGCCTAGCACCCTCTCCAAGTAGTGCAAGTCACTAAGCTGGCAGAAAATTCTCCCCTTCGCTGTCTCGTTGCCGGTTTCGGGGGGCTGACCCTGTCCCCCACTGCCACAGCAGAGCTGGGTGGCTGGGAGCCGACCTGTCCCTCTCCGGGGTAGCAACCCACCTGGTTTCCAGTTCAGCCACCTCACAAAACATCACTGTGCTCTTAAATTCCCACTTCAAGCTCGACTGAAGGAAAAAAAAAAAGTTTAAAGTTTAAAAATCAATCTGACACTGCTTACTGTCCAAGCTGAGAGAAGTAACAGAGTAAAAAGAGAGAGCACTAGTAGGAGGGGTAAAAAGCTAAATCACTAAAAGGCTTTTAAAAACTTCAAAGAGGAACCCTTTAAAACAGAAAGGGCAGCGTGCTGCTCTTTCCAAACAGAAGAAAGGCTTTTTTTCCTCCCATTCAGTCAGGACACTCCTTTTTGTAGAAGGGAAAAGTTTTAACAGTTATATCAATTTAATTAAAAGGTCAGCGAAATTTCTGATGTGGACATCTCTTTTAGAACAAGAACAACTATGTCAACATGTATGGTTTTAATTAAAGGCTTCAGTTTTATCAATATGGGAATGGTATACTGGTATAAGTTAACTGTTACTGCATTGTTTAGGGTTTGTTTTTCCCTCACTATAGGGGCAACACTTTTATAAAACACTTGGATTTAAAAAAAAAATAAATACTGACAGTATTGGTACAATATATTATTTAAAAAAAAGCCAAAACACCAGGAAAAAAAAACCCAGTTTGTAACTTTGTTTTCTGTGACTATTCAGTTTTGTCGAGATTTTGCTGGAACGCAAAGCCCAACACAAAAGCTGCCACGCTTACACACAGCACGCATGTCAGGACTTTTGCACGGTAGGATACAGACCATCCCAGAGACTTTAAATGGTCAGCTTTGATCCGACAGCCTCTATACAGAGCCCTAATCTCAGGCGTAGTACAAAGAATCCAATTCTTCTAATATGCTAGAGATTTTCCCCTACTGGAAGAAAAAAAATATCCCCCACCCCAACAAAACAAGAGACATTCAGTCTCTCTCAGTCAACAGGGGGAAAAAAGCAATTTCAAGTTTAATTACACAGATGCAACTTTTCCTGTATGGCTGAGGCCTTAGGCTCTAATTCTATTTCAGATGAAGTCAATGGAAAAAATCCTCATTATTTCAGCGGGAACAAAGCAGAGTGTTCCAGTTCCCTTTCTCGCCTCTCTCCTCTATTTGTGAAAACAAACCCCAACAAACATATTTTTAAATTATTGTAAAACCTGATGTTTGTTACTACTTTAAGGGTCTCTCAAGGTCTCCTCTTAAGCTCAAACCATGAACTTTTCAAGAAAAGGAATGACACTAATAGGGGCTAGTTCACAACGCAGCACGATAGGGCCACTTACCAAAAACACTGATGTACACAAACCAAAGCTAAAAGCCCTTTACTGTCAGTATTACCATCACTTAACAGAAGACATACAGTGTGCATCATCAATAAAAGATTCTGGCCACAAAGATGCCAGATGGATGTTTTAGGAACAACAACAATAAACCAAGCCCTCCCCCCCCCCCTAAAAAAAAAAGGTGCTGATTTCTGTTGTATTTCTAACTTACTTTGGGTAAGCACTAAAACACCCAGCCAGCCTACTCTCCCCCCATCACCCTGCTTCTGCATCACTCAGAAAAATACATACTTTCATATACACTGCTGCATAACATATGCTTTACACACTCGTTTTCTTAGCCCACAGAAACGCTAAGCAAATCCACGATACGGCAGAACGCTTTACCTGTGATACGAGGATCAAAACTACGATTCTCTGCCCAAGACACAATCGTAATCCATAGGTTTGAGGGGCAGAAAAGATACGCCGGTTAGGGCACAGGGCACACCCCATCCATAGCACCCTGTTCGAAGAATCTCGCTCCCCTCACAGCCCCGTTTGAGACAACAAAGCTGCTCTTTGGCTCCGTTACCACATACCTCGGCAATAAATCCAGATCCTAGCGGCAGCTGCTTAGCGCGCATCTGTGGTTAAACTAAGCCGCCGTGCTCGATGTCTTCTTCGGAGAAATGTGCCGCGAGGCCTAATCCTCCTCCCACAAGATACAAACAGCCCACCACCGAGCGATGACAATAATTACCGGCATCTTCTCACAGGCAGCTCCTTACTTTGTCTGCTTAATCCCAAGAGCTGACAAATCCAGGGTTGCCCTTTCCGGCAGGACCGTGCCCTGTGAGGAACCTTTTGGGGCGCAGGCGCTCTCAGGTACAGCTGGCACGCCTGGTTCGAGAGGTGCGTGAGGCAAAACCCGTACCGCGCTCCCAGACGCCTCACGGGATGACAGCGTGCTGTCGAGCCAAGGTTTCCAGCAGTAATGCCTTCCAGAGGGCAGGTGCCTCTGCTTTACAACTCTTACAGGGTTAGTTTCCAGCTCATAAAAGGCTAACCCAAAAGGGGGGGTATACCGCCTATGCGATGGGCCTTCGCGCCCCAATCCGGGTGACGGGACCCCAGCTCTGCCGCCCGCGTACCTCACACAGTTACTTTCTCCTCCAGTCTTTTCCCTTTTCCATTTGCACTTGACCTAACTTTGGCCTCCGAGAGCGACTGCCCATCGCTTCCAGGGTACTAACCGCGGGCAGGTACACCTCGATCCATCTCCGAAGGAGCCAGCTAAGC